ACCCTCCAAGGGTGAGGAGGCCCGCGGCCTCCGCCTAGGGTGAGGGACGGCCCGCGCCTCCCCCCAGAGTTGCCGTTGATATTTTGTAGGCCTCTTCTTTTGTCTTTGAGCCATTCCACCAGTTAGAGTCGTGCGACTCCTCCTGCTTTGCCCCACACGCCGTCTTAGAGAGGATGAGTGACCCGAGGCCGCCCCGCAGGCGCTCACAGCCACACACCCTCCAAACTCCTGGGCTCGGTAGTAGGAGAGGGCACCAGTGCCGCCCGCAGCCTCTCCCCACCCTTTACACGAAGGTGAGTGAATCAGGCTCGCAGCGTCCACCTCGCACGTGGTGAACGAGGGCCACAAAGGCCATTCCTACCCGCGCCCACCCCGCCCGGCTAATTTTTTATATAGGGAGTGTAGAGAGGCCCCGCAGGACCTCCACAGTTGGGCCAATTAATTTCTTTCTATTTATAGTCAAGAGACCAGGGTCTCGCTCTTGCTTCAGGCTGGTTTTGAACTCCCTGACCTCGAGCCAATCCACCCGCCTCGCCTCCAACCCCCAAGAGCTAGGATTACAAGGCGTGAGCCACCGCGGCCTGGCCCATAAGGAGGTTTTCTTTAATAGAGAAATTAATTTCTTTATTTTTTAGTTAGAGTATCGGGTCCGCTCTTGCTCCCAGGCCCGCCTCCAACTCCTCGTACACAATCCAAAAGAAGCTGAAATGAGGTCCACGGCCTCGCCTCCGCCTCGGCCTCCCCAGAGTGGGCTGGGATGACAGGCTTTTGACGCCTAAACGGGTAAAGAGAGGCGCCCGCTGCCTGATCTTTGCCCCCAGGGTGGCCTTTGGCTAGCGCTCGACCTCGCACACAAAGCGGAGGAAACGCGGAGCCCAACTGACAGCGCCTGACCCCACACAAGCGCGTGGGAGGGAGGGAGGGCGCGCCATCAGGTGGAGGGCGGAATCACGCCATGTCATGGCCCAGCCACTCTGCGTGGCGGCCAGCGTAGAAGGAGTGCCGGAGGCCCGAGTCGGGACTGGTCCCCCAGGCTCCGAGGGCCGAATGAGGCGCCGCGGCCTCAGGGGAATCCCGAGACCGGGCCTGAGCAAGAGGCGAGACCCCCACCAGAGCTGAGGGACAGGCCCACTGCCTCCCCTGGGAGTGAGGCCGGTCCCTTTCGCCTCCTTGCCCCCGTCTCTACTGAAAACACCACGACGAAATTCGCCAAACAACTAAAAATAATATATGACAGAACACAACGAGCCGGGTGCGGCCCGGCCCCGCCGTGGTCGTCCCAGGCACTCCGGGGGGGAGGAGGCTGAGGCGGAAGGATCGCTCCCGGGGTCCAGGAAGTCGAACCAGCCTGAGCCAACGCATGCGAGAGATGCATCCTGACTACCTAAAAAAATAGACACACGACACTACACTTCCATAATGTGTCGCAGAGACCGCCCTAACACACACAAATTATATATGTGAAGGTACTATACCGGCCGCCGAGAGGTGCCGCGAGGGTGAGATGCACGCCTGTCTGCTCTCGTAATCCCTAGCACTTTGGGACGGCCCCCGAGGCGGGCCGGATTTGCCCCTCAAGGTCAGGAGTTGCGAAACCGAGCCTGAAGCCGAGACCGTCTCTACCAAAAAATAGAAAGACAATTAATTGGACACACCTAAATCAATATCCCATTGGTAGGCTTTAGACGCTCAAAGTATACTGTTAGCTCGGCATTCCGTGCCTTGGCGGCTATGTCCTGAGTTCCGCCCAGCTACTCGGGACTTGACCCGTGCACGCAGTGCTGCATCACTCGTTCCGGCGCTCCACAGGAGTTGGAGCGTTTGCTTGTGAGCCATGGCTTGACACGCCAACGGCAACTCGTCACTTCCTAGCCCTGGCGCGAACAGTATAAGTGACTGTCTGGATCTCCGTCCTGTCCTCCAAAAAAAAAAACCATATGAAAAAATCTATCAATATGAAAGTTGGTCACGTATGTCTCTCCCTGTCCGTCGAGCCCCGGGCGTGTCTGGGTACCGGCCGCACATGCCTGTCGTCCCAGCGCGCCCACTCGGCTGAGCTGTGCGTGGAGGCTGAGCGCGCTGGAGCGCTTCCGCTGCGCGGAGGCCAGGAGTTGGAGGCTGCTCGTGAGGCGAGCTGACGCCACCGGCACTCACTCCAACGTCCCGGTGCGACAGAGCGACGACTCTGACTCAATAATACATAATAATAATAATAATACCGTATTATAGCTGGTCTCATCAATTTTATTTCAGGGCTCTGCCAACCTTGGAGCCGTATTAATCGGACCGGTTAAGTCCTGATCCGGTGCCAGGCGCGGCTCTTCCCGCTCTGTCAGCAAGTGCCCAGGATGGCAGAGCACGAGAGGAAACGGCGACAGTCCCCCCGCCCGCAGACCCGAAAAAACCCACAGATGCGTCGTGCCCGTCCCTCGCGAAATCCGATAGGGGGGCGCGCGCGCCGTGCGGGGCGCCGCCCCGTCTGTGCTGTCCAGTGTCTCTCCGTCTCCTGGGTCCGTCCCGTGAATACCTGACCGGCGCGTTCCCATGCCGGGGCCCCGGTTGCTCCAGCTGGGAGCCGGGCGCGTCCACTCCGAGGCATCTGTCCGTGAACGGCACGCTCTCGACCCTGTCCCGTGTCGTGTTCCTGTCGTAACAATCCGGCCCCCAATCTGTCTCCATACACAGACACCTATAGTAATAATGTAAAATTTCACTTCCTTTTGTTAATTTTTTTTTTTTTTTTTTTTCCTGAGACAGAGTCTGGCTCCTTGTCGGCTCCCTACCGTCCGTTTGTTGACTGGATCCAGCGCTCGCTGTTTGCGTGTCCCCATCTCGCTCAGCCGCTCACACTCTCCGCGACTCGCCTGCTCCTGCGCCGGAGCATCGTTGCTATGCTCTCTCTCCGTCCGCCTCGGCTCTCCTCCACCTGGTAGGCGCGCGACCGACAGGTGTGTGCCACACCCGGCTGGCTTATAGTTCTGTTCTTCTTCACCGGTACTGATGCCGTCTCTCTGTCCCGTTTACCGTTGGCCCGGCCCTAAATATTTCTACTATACTGTCTGTCCTCTCCGCCGGTTATATACCGTTATCATCCTCATACCGTCCGTCTCTCAGTCCGCCCTACGATTAATTATGTTTCTATTTATAGTAGCATGTCTCCGCAGGGTCAGGGCGCGCGGCCCCCAAAACTCCTGAACTCGACGGCGATCCTCCGCCTCCGGCCTCCCTCCCCGAGTAGCTGGGACTAACACCGCGTGGTGGTGGGTCGTGCAGCGATCAGCGCGCTGTGCCGAGAATACCGCGCAAACACGCGTGTCTCATGAACTTCCTGTCACCATGCTGCGGGAGGAGGCTCAGCCCAGAGTGCGGGGTGTGGGGGCGGCGCCGGTGTCCCCCCTGTGTCCCCGGGTCCACACGCCGCCCGGGGCTGCCGTTTTTTTCGACTGTCATTCACCATATACCCCCCGGGGTGGCGAGGCCCGCTGGCTTAGTAGGGAGGGAGTGGACGCGCAAACGCAAAGAGCGTCAATTACTACTAAATAATAATATCAAAAATACATGTATAAATCGTCTAAATCCTGTATTACAACTGAAGAGAAGAGAACGCGGACAGCACGTGAGCGGAAGCCTCCGGGCGACTGTGTGCTTCTCTTGTGCGCCAGTGCTGCGCCGCCAGGGCCGACCGTGCTCGGAGACGAATCTCTCCTCTACGAGGTTCTCTCGCTCCCCGCCAAGTTAGCGTAGGACTCACCGCGCTCAGGCCCAGAGACGCCGACACGCCCACCATCGCGACTTGACTCACAAATTTTTTACTATCGTAAGGAAATAATGAGTTCTTGGAAATATTACGTTAGAGTCCAAATATTAATATTATCTTCCTAATTTTTTTTTTTAGTAGTATAGACGAGGGATAAATCGAGTCATATGAAGCCGGCCCAGGCTGGACCTCGCAAGCCTCCCCCTGGACCCTAGGTAGCCCAGCCGATCCTTCACATGCCGCCTGCCCCCGCGCGCCAGGAGTGCCCCACCCAACACAGCATCGCTGGAATTATAGGGGCCCCCGTGGAAGCCACCGCACGCGCCAGCGCCGCGCCTTTTAATTTTTTCCTTCCTGTTTCGCGGCGCGGGCAGGTTCCAGCCGCTCGCGTCCACGCAAGAGAGGACCCGTCTCCTACTATAAATAAGAAAGAAATTAATTGGACACACTGAGAGGCCATGGAGTTGATACGCCATGATAGAGACGTTGCAGGCTATGAGCCGGCGCTGGTGCGGCTTGGCACTCCCAAGCTACAGCCGAGGGCGCGTAGCCGACTCCGCAGAGCAGGCGACATCGCTCGTTGAGGTCAGGAGTTGGAAGGCCGGCCGTGGAAGCAGAGCGAGCCCAGTCTCTACTAAAAAGATCCATATAAAACCACTAGCACGAGAGCCCGAAAATGGGCTCAGGCCCCCTCCAAGAAACAAAAAACAGCTTACCGTGAAACACACACAAGAGCATAGACCAGGCATCCAGGTGTCTCGACCGCGCCTGACCAGGTGTCCAGCGCTGCCACTGGGGAGGCCGAGTGGGAGGATCGCTCGAGGCGGGAGTTGGAGGCCGGCTGAGCAACAGCCGACCCGGGACCCCGTTCGTCTGCTATCTCACAAACCTATTTTCTAGTATAACTAAACCTAATTTGCCGACTGATAAAATTAATATTCAGTCCCCCCACTACCCAGAGCATCACCACATGAGCCGGGCCGTGGCGGCGCATGCCTGTAGTGTCCCAGCTATTCTTTCTATTTTTTTTTTTTTTAGTAGAGACGGGAGTGGGAGGAAGGGAGGACGGGAGGAGTCGTGGCACTGGAGGTCCGACTGTGAGTCGGGAGGCTGCTGTGAGCGATGCTCAGGCCGGGGCCTCGGCCTCGTCCTGCACGCCTCCCTCGGGGCGCGTATCCCCTCCCACTCTCCGTCCTCCCGACAGCGCCTGAGCGCCTCAGCCGCCCGCCTTCGATCTTCCGGGGGCGGTCCATACGCCCGCCCTTCCCCAGGCCGAGCCGGGGCAAGCCACTCCAGCCTCCTCCCAGGTTGAGGCGGCTTCCTGCCTCCTCCTCCGCAGGGCGGCGCCGAGTTTGAGTGCTACACAAGGCGCGGCCGACGATCCCAGGACTCGTGAGCCCCCGGCGCGCGTGGACTGCAAATCATCACAATCATCGAGGAGAACTCGGAGCGGAGACGGCCTGTCGCACGCCTGTGCGCAAATACCTCGAGAGTAGAGGACTGCGGTTTCACCGTGCTGGCCACTGTGAGATCCTACAATTGCGCATCCGCTGGACTTTTGATCCCCTCCACCCACGCTGGGCCCAGGAGGGCCAAGACAACAGCACCCCAACCCCCCACCCCCGCGCCCATCAAGTCGAATCGCTTCATCTACAACCGCGTGGTGCTGGAGCAGGAGGAGGTCCGCGCAGCGTGCGGAGGCCCCCCCCCGGGGGGCGGGGAGCGCTCCCGTCAAGGGTGGGACGTTGTCTTGTTATCCCGGTCTTATGCTAGGGGGTATTCCCGACCAGTCGGCTCCGTTGCTCCGTCCCTCGTTGTTTCTGGGGTCCTCGTCTGTCGCGCTCCGTTTTGTTGTTATAGCTGAACTCCCTGGGCGGCTGGGCCTCTCAAAGTGAGCTGGCCCAGTCGGCACGCCTCCACGGGTGTCACATTATGGGGTTGTTGGCTGCTTTTTATTTTTTATTGGGTTGTCCGAACTGCCTGGTTGTTTTTGGTTTGTTGTTGGTCCTTTTTTTTTTTCCCCTTTTTTGCCTTTTGGGCCTTTTGGGTGCTTTTTTACCTTTTTTTTTTTTTTTTGTGTGGAAGACAGAGAGTTCACTTAGGAGCAGTTTGTTGCCCAGGCCTGTAGGAGTGCGTTGAGTGCCCGTGGCGTCAGCGCCTCTTCTGCTGTTCAACTGATCCGGAGCAACCTCAATTCCGGGGCTCAAGCGATCCTCACTGCCTCAGCCTCGCGGCACACCGTAGCTGGGACTCACAGGCATGGCCACGCCACAGGCGGCTAATTTTTGTATATATATTTTTAGTTGGTCAAATTAATTTATTTTTCTAATTTTTTGGAGAGACGGGGTTCGCTCAGATCAAAGCTGGTTTTGAACTCCTGACCTTGAGCAATCCGCTGCTCATGAACTTCCTGTTCACCATGCTGCGGGAGGAGGTGAGAGTGCGGGGGGTGTGGGGGCGGCGCCGGGCGTCCCCTGTGTCCCCGGGTCCCCACCCGGGCTCGGACTGTCCCCCCCGGGGGTGGCGAGGCCCGCTGGCAGGAGGGAGGACGGACGCAGAGCGCAATAAAAAAAAAAAAAAAAAACCAGAAAACGCAAACGACGCAGAACACGAAGAGAAACGCGGACAGACATACAGACGGACGACTGGGGTCGTGGCGCTGGGAGGAGGCCGGGGAGGGAGGATCGCCCGAGGTTGAGGTTGGGAGTTGGAGGCCAGCCTGAGCCCAAGAGCGAGACCCCCGTCTCTACTATACGTGGAAAGAAATGAGCTGGAAAACTTAAATATATATATATATATATAAAAAAATAATGAGCCGGGCGTGGTGGCGCACGCCTGGAGTCCCAGCTACTCTGGGAGGCCGAGGAGGGAGGATCGCTCGAGGCTGAGGTCAGGAGTTGGAGGCCAGCCTGAGCAAGAGTGAGACCCCGTCTCTACTATAAATAGAAAGAAATTAATTGGACAACTAAAAATGTAAAGAAATAATATGAGCCGGGCATGGTGGCGCCTGCCTGGAGTCCCAGCTACTCGGGAGGAGGCAGAGGCAGGAGGATCGCTCAGTCGAGGTCAGGAGTTGGAGGCCAGCCTGAGCCCAAGAGCGAGGCCCAGTCTCTACTAAAAAAAAAAAAAAAAAAAAAATAGAAAGAAATGGGCTGGACAACTAAAAACAAAAAAAAATACATATGGAAAAAAATACTAGCCAGGCGCGGTTGCTCACGCCTGTCATCCTAGCTCTCTGGGAGGCCGAGGCGGGAGGATCGCTCGAGGCCGGGAGTTGGAGGCCAGCCTGAGCAAGGGCGAGACCCCGTCTCTGCTATAAACAGAAACAAATTAATTTGCCGACTGAAAAATATATATAAAAAAAAAAAAAACGAGCCGGGCGTGGCGGCGCGTGCCTGTAGTAGTCCCAGCTACTCGGGAGGGAGGCCGGGGCGGGAGGATCGCTGGAGGCCAGGAGTCGGAGGCTGCTGTGAGCGAGGCTGACGCCTGTCCTGCCCCTCCGGGCCTCCCTCCCACTCGTCCTCCCTCCTTGCCTCAGCGCCCGGCTTCGATCTTCCCCGGGGTGCGGAAAGCAGCCCTCCCAGGTTGAGGCCGGCAAGCAGCCTCCCAGGTTGAGGCCGGCCTCTGCCTCCTCCTCCGCAGGGCGGGTTTGAGTACAAGCGTGCCATCGTGGACTGCATCATCAGCATCATCGAGGAGAACTCGGAGAGCAAGGAGACGGGCCTGTCGCACCTGTGCGAGTTCATCGAGGACTGCGAGTTCACCGTGCTGGCCACTCGCATCCTGCACCTGCTGGGCCAGGAGGGGCCCAAGACCAACAGCCCCTCCAAGTACATCCGCTTCATCTACAACCGCGTGGTGCTGGAGCAGGAGGAGGTCCGCGCAGGTGCGGAGGCCCCCCCGGGGAGCGGGGGGCGGGGAGCGCTCCCGTCCGGGGTGGGACGTTGTCTTGTTATCGTCTTAGTTGTTATTGAAGTCGGCTGCGTTCTCGTTCGTTGTTTCTGTTTTCATTGTCGTCGTCGTCGTTGTTGCCGAACTCTGGGGGCTCTCGGCTTGTCCTTTTGGGTTGTTGGTCGCTTTTTTATTTTTATTGTTGTCGAACTTGGCTTGTTCTCGTTTGTTGTTTTTGTTTTCGTTGTCGTCGTTGTTGTTGCTGAACTCTGGGGGCTCTTGAATTGTTCTTTTGGTTGGTTGCTTTTTTATTTTTATTGTTGTCGAACTTGGCTTGTTCTCGTTTGTTGTTTTTGTTTTTGTTTTCGTTGTCGTCGTTGTTGTTGCTGAACTCTGGGGCTCTCGGCTTGTCCTTTGGGTTGTTGGTTGCTTTTTTATTTTTATTGTTGTCGAACTTGGCTTGTTCTCGTTTCTTGTTTTTGTTTTCCTTGTTGTCGTTGTTGTTATTGCTGAACTCTGGGGGCTCTCGGCTTGTCCTTTTGGGTTGTTGGCTGCTTTTTTATTTTTATTGTTGTCGAACTTGGCTTGTTCTCGTTTCTTGTTTTTGTTTTCCTTGTTGTCGTTGTTGTTATTGCCGAACTCTGGGGGCTCTCGGCTTGTCCTTTTGGGTTGTTGGCTGCTTTTTTATTTTTATTGTTGTCGAACTTGGCTTGTTCTCGTTTGTTGTTTTTGTTTTTGTTTTCGTTGTCGTCGTTGTTGTTGCTGAACTCTCGGGCTCTGGGCTTGTCCTTTGGGTTGTTGCTTGTTTTTTATTTTTATTGTTGTCGAACTTGGCTTGTTCTCGTTTGTTGTTTTTGTTTTCGTTGTTGTTGTTATTATTGGCGAGCTGGGGCTCTTGGCTTGTTCTTTTGGTTGGTTGCTTTTTTATTTTTTATTTATTTTCTTTTTTCTGAGACAGAGTCTCACTTTGTTGCCCAGGCTAGTGTGAGGGCCGTGGCATCAGCCTGGTTCACAGCAACCTCAAACTCCTGGGCTCAAGCGATCCTCCTGCCTCAGCCTCCCCAGTAGCTGGGACTACAGGCATGCGCCACCATGCCCAGCTAATTTTTTGTATATATATTTTTAGTTGGTCAATTAATTTATTTTCTATTTTTGGTAGAGACGGGGTCTCGCTCAGGCTGGTTTCGAACTCCTGACCTTGAGCAATCCGCCCGCCTCGGCCTCCCAAAGTGCTAGGATTACAGGAGTGAGCCACCGCGCCCGGCCATTGTTTGTTGTTTTTGTTTTTGTTTTCGTTGTTGTCGTTGTTGTTGCTGAACTCTGGGGGCTCTCGGCTTGTCCTTTGGGTTGTTGTTTGTTTTTTTATTTTTATTGTTGTCGAACTTGGCTTGTTCTCGTTTGTTGTTTTTGTTTTCGTTGCTTTTGTTATTATTGGCGAACTGGGGCTCTTGGCTTGTTCTTTTGGTTGGTTGCTTTATTATTTTTATTGTTATCGAACTTGCCATGTTCTCGTTTGTTTTTATTTTCATTGTTGTTGTTATTATTGGCGAGCTGGGGCTCTTGGCTTGTTCTTTCCGTTGGTTGCTTTTTTATTTTTATTGTTGTCGAACTTGGCTTGTTCTCGTTTGTTGTTTTTATTTTCATTGTTGTTATTATTGGCGAACTGGGGCTCTTGGCTTGTTCTTTTGGTTGGTTGCTTTTTTATTTTTATTGTTGTCGAACTTGCCATGTTCTCGTTTGTTGTTTTTATTTTCATTGTTGTTGTTATTGCTGATCTGGGGCTCTTGTTCTTTCGGTTATTGTTTGTTTTTTATTTTTATTGTTATTGGTATTGAGCTTTGGGCTCTTGGCTTGTTCTTTTTTGTTTGTTTCTTTATTATTGTTGTTACTATTATCGAAGTTGGCCTCTTGGCTTGTTTTATTGGTTGTTTGTTTTTTATTTTTATTATTATTGAACTTGGCCTCTTGGCTGGTTCTTTTTTGTTTGCTTTTTATTTTTATTGTTATTGTTATTGTTATTGAACTTGGCCTCTTGGCTTGTTGTTTTTTGTTTGTTTTTTATTTTTTGCTGTTATTATTATTGAACTTGGCTTGTTCTTTTTTTTTTTTTTATTGTTACTGTTATTGAAGTTTGCCTCTTGGCTTGTTCTTTTTTAGTTGTTTGTTTTTCATTTTTATTGTTATTATTGAACTTGGCCTCTTGGCTTATTCTTTTTTGTTTGTTTTTCATTTTTTTTTTTTTTTTTTTTTTTTTTTAAGAGAGAGATTTTGTCATTTTATTACTGTATGAACTCGCCTCTCGCTTTTTGTTTTTTGTTGATTTTATTTACGTTAATTATATTTGAACTTGCCCCTTGAATGTCTTTTGTTATTTGTTATTACTAAGTTGGCCTCTGGCTTGTTCTTTTGTTGTTTATATTTTTTATATTATTGTGTGAACTTGAGGTCTTGGCTTGTCTTTTTATTATTTTTATTATTATTAATTTGTGAGAACAGAGTCTGCCTGTCGCCGGGCTACAGTGAGCGCCGGGCGTCAGCCTCGCTCACAGCAGCCTCCACGCTGGCCTCACGACGCTCCTGCAAGCCCCTCAAGTAGCTGACAAGGTGTCGCCACCAACGCCCGGCTCGTTTTTATATATATATATGAATAATATATTTTTTTTTTGTTTTTGGACAGAGTCTCGCTTCGGCCTAGCTAGAGTGATGCCGTGACGTAGCCCTAGCTCACAGCAACCTCAAACCCTGGGCTCAAACGATCTCCTGCCTCAGCTCCCGAGTAGCTGGACTACAGCCGAGCCACATCCGGCTAAATTTTTTCTTTTAATAATATTTAAGTGGCCAATTATCTTCTATTTTTTGTATAGAGAGAACGGCTCGCTCAGGCTGGTTTGAACTCCTGACCTGAGCAATCGCCCCCTCGGCCTCCCATATATATAGTGGCCAATTAATTACTTTCTATTCCAGTAAGACAGTTCTCGCTCTTGCTCAGGCGCCTCGAACTCCTGACCTCCAGCGACCTTGCAACCATCGCCCCACCAGTGCGGATGAAACGTGAGCCACCGTGCCGGGCCTAAATTTTATCATATATTATTATTGACTGTCCTCTGCTGTTTTTTGGTTGGTTAATTTTATTATTTATTATTATTGACTTGCTCTGCCTTGTTCTTTTTTTTTTATCATTATTATTTATTAGTTATTTATTAAGACACATCCCACTGTGCGCCACAAGGCCGTGCTGACCTCACTAACACAGCCTCAACTTCTGACTCAGTGACTCCTCCTTACCCTCCCTCCGAGTAGCTGGACAACAGGCATGCGCCTCCCACGCCCGGCTCGTTTTTTTTTTTTTTAAATATATCCAATTAATCCTTCAATGATAGTAGAGACGGTCCTCGCTCAGCTCAGGCTGCCTCGGAATCCTGTCCTCAGCCATCCTCCTGCCTCGGCCTCCCAGAGTGCCGGATGACAGCGTGAGCCACCGTGCCTGGCTGAAATTGGGCAGTTGGATGTGAAGGTGACAGCCTACATTTAGCCAACTCTGTAGGCTCATCTAGTGGATTGAATAGCTCCTGAGCCCGGGCACGGTGCTCACGCACTGTCCCCAGCATCTGGGACCAGGCAGGAGGATCCATGAGGTCAAATTGAGACCGGCCCTGACAAGAGGCGAGAGCCCGTCCTACTAAAAATAGAAGAATTAATGCCAACTAATACATATAGAAAAAGGAGCCGGGCGTGTGCGCACCGCCTGTATCCCCAGCTACTCGGATGGAGCTGAGAAGAGGATCACTCCAGGTTAGGAAGTTCGAGGCCAGCCTGAGCAACAGCCAGACCGTCCTGCTATAAAAAAAATGAGAAGAAATAGTGTGGACCAACAAAAGTAATATAGAAAGAAAAATGAGCCGGGCGTGGAGGCGCATGCCTGATCCCAGCTACCGAGGAGGCCGAGGCGGAGGATCGCTGGAGGCCAGGAGTTTAAGACCAGCCTGAGCAAGAGCCGAGACCCGTCTCTACTAAAAAGAAAACAATCAGGCAACGAAAAATACAAGAAAAATTAGGCAGCGTGCGCACGCTTATCCAGCTACTCAGAGGGAGCCGAGTCAGGAAGGACGTCGCTCGGAGGCAGGAGTTG